TCACTCAGAGTCCCACCCGGCTTCTCCAGATCCCACGTTCCGTCCAGGGATCCCGGGTGCTGGACGGTGGAAACCCAACCAACCACCTCTGCAACACGCCTCAAACGTTGCTTCTTCCACGTGTGCAGACTAGAGGCTGCTCAGTCTTGGGTCTGTGCCTCTCCTGTCATCCTAGGATTCCGCTAGAGCTAGGAGGGCCGTGCGTCCCCATACAGAGCGAGGGAAGCGCGCTTTCAGGCACCGGTTACGTGTTTAACCCGGTGCTGGGCTCTTTCACACAGGTTGTCCCTGCAAGTAAGGAACAGGGACCCTGGGAGAGCAAATGGCCTGCGAGAGACCGCAGAGGGCTTAAGTCTGGAGGCAAGTAGGGCCCAGGGCAGGGGGTGGAGAGACGGAGGGTTGGGGTTGGACAAGGCAGGGCCCGACTGGGAAGGGTCCAAACGTGCAAAGCTCACCTCTCACTAAAGCCTGGAAAAACCACCTCCTCCCTCCCAGGTTCCAGCCACCTACTGCCCAGCCTCCCTTGCCAAAGAGGACCCTCCTGGGAAACGCCCCTGCCTGGGCCCTGGGGGCTCTTCTGGGAAACTCCCAGCACCCAGGTTCAGACCCTCCACTTGGTGGGGCCTTCATCTGGGCACAGCCTATGTGCATCCCCAGCAGTGTCCAACACACGGGCAAAGAGAGGCAGGCAACAAATCCCAGGCCCAGATGCCACTCGGCAGCCCATCTGCAGGGGGGCAGGAAGGCCAGTTCTTAGCAGAGATGAAAAGACAGCGATGTTGATTTTTGAACTAGTTTTATGAAGCTAAAAGTAAGCTGGAAAACAAAATAAGCCACTGCTTTTCAGCTAGATTTAAAAAAAAGAACTTTGTTCTTATTTTTAACTCAACTAAAGTGATTCGTGGCCCAGAGGCCATAGATTCATTCTGTGATTTGAGGGTGTGTTAACAACGGCCGGCCCCTAATCTCTCTGAAGTTGATCTCTACACACCCACACATCTCCGTTAGACGTGGCATCTCTCGGTCGGGTTGTCCAAGCCGCCTGTGACCTGTAAATGTGCTACTGAGGTGTGCGCAGCCCTGACCCACGAGGCCCCGGGGCCCTGAGTGAGCGAGATGTGGGCAGGTCTGGAGGGGGAGCCTGAGGCCCTACCTAGAGGAGGTAAACAGCCAGGGAACAACTTGGACACAAGTCACAGCTCCACTTACAAGCCACGAAACCTCGGCCACATCACTTCACCTCTCTGAGCCTCGACCCCCTCACCTGTAAAATGGAGAGAACAATGCTGACCCCTCGGAATTGTTGAAACTTAAGAGAGTGGATGCAAAGACACACAGCATGGGGCAGCCCACAGGGCAGGCCCACGGGAAAAGGCCACCATTCTCTCTTAATCAATGCCACTGGCTGATCGAATCCTTTCTCCTGCCTCACCCAGAATGCCCGCTGGCCCCATCCTCAAAGCCTGCGGAAAGGTAACGTCTCCTTATAAGGTGACTCTAAGATCAGGGCTCACGGGGTGGGTCCTACCACCTCATACAGAGACACCTCCGGGGCCCAGCCTGGAGCCCAGAAGGTGTGATAGCTTGCCACTGGGTGGTGACCCGCCCTGAGTCACCACAACAAAGCCTGCAGCTTCCCCAGCAACGGCCCCACCGCCAGGTGATCCCATTTATCAGCGGCATCTGGGCCCAGCCAGCGCCGCCAGGGCCGCCCGGGCATCTGATGAAGACCCAAGTCTGAACCTGCCAGGCCTTGTGAGAAGCGGAGCCGCTGGGCCCCCTCCCTGGGCAGGGCCACGTGGGGCTTCGGAGATGTCAGAGGCCGTTACGGAAGGCAGAGGGCTCCGTTCTTCATTCACCACATGCGTGTCCGATGGCAGCGGCCGGGGAGCCCTCCACCCTCTGCCCACTTCTGCCGCCCTCCTCACCGCGGCCAAGACTCTGCCCCAGGCTCCTCTCCTCTTACTCACTCACCGGGGGCCGCAAACCGCTGGGCCAGGGGCCAGATCCAGGCTGCAGACAGGTTCTGTGGATAAAAGCACGGCTTCTGGAGCCAGACGGGTACTTTCTAGTAGCTATGTGTGCTTGGGTGACCTACCTAGCACCTCTGTACCTCCGCTTCTTCGTCTGCAGAGTCTAGATAAACACCTCATAGAGTTGGGGTGAGGACAAGTAGCTTAGAAGAGTCCGCAGTAAACACGCCCCAATTTTGCCCCTTTTAAGTCGAGCCAACATTTTAAATTAGGAGATTTCACAGCAAAAAATCCAGATTTCCGGCTTTTCCTGAAAACCCAAAAGATTTGGGAAGATACCTTCCTGCCAGGCACCAGCTGGGGTTCCGTTGGGGCCAGTGGTTGTCGGCACTGGCTCTCCCTTAGAATCGGATTAGATTCAATTTAGTAGCTCCATCTGGGAAGCTACTGAACTATTTTGCTGCCTGGGCTCCACTCTGGACCAGCTGAGTCAGATTCCCCAGGGACGGGGTCCAGCAATCCTAGGTTCTAAAAGTACCCCTGGTGATTCCACTGGGTAGCCAGGGCCCAGGGCCTCTGCTGTAGGCAGATTATGGACTTTCCAGTTGGCCATGGTGACATTTGTCTTCATTATTTCACAGTGGTTTATTTTAGAGAACAGTTCATTGGGTCCCTGCCCTTTTAAAATTGGGAAATAGGAGGGGCGCCTGGGTGGCTTAGTCGGTTAAGCGTCCGACTTTCGCTTAAGTCATGATCTCGCAGTTCGTGGGTTCGAGCCCCGCGTCGGGCTCTGTGCTGACTGCCAGCTCGGAGCCTGGAGCCTGTTTCAGTCTGTGACTCCCTCTCTCTCTGACCCTCCCCTGCTCACGCTTTCTCTCTCTCTCTCCCTCTCTCTCTCCTAGAAATAAATAAAACATTTTTAAAAAAAAATTGGGAAATAGGAGACCTGGAAGGACACAGGACCCTGCTCACACCTGACTGAGCTCATTCGTGGGCCCCCCCGGCCCCCCGAAGCAGCAGCCGTGGCCCTGGTCTCTGCCCTCTCTTTGGCCACCCTTATCCACATGCCACCTCGAGACCAGCAGCTTCCAAGTCCTCACCTTTAATTCCACCACTTCTCTCTGTGAACACAGCAGGGACTCTCGCTTCTCCGTGCCCCATCCCTCATGCCTTTCCCGCCTTCTTCCCTGGCAAATGTCTTCTCATCCTTCACTCACCCCTGCTCAAGGGCCACCTCCTCCAGGAAGCCCCCCTCAGCTTGCCAGGAAAAGCTGAAGTCTTTCTGCGTTAAGTCTCCCACTGTACCGGGAGCTTCTCAAGAGTGAGGTCATCTCCGGGGCCCCCAAGAAACTAGTTGAGGACCTTGCTTCCTGACCTCACAGCCTCCGCATTCGCAGCTTCCCTCCCTCACCACGCCCCTTTGCGCAGCCCTCTCCTGGCCTCTCCAAACCCTCCGTATCTCCATCGAGCTTCCGTTCCCACCGCCGACTGCGCCCTCTCCTCATCTCTAAGCTCAGGATGGTATCTCCTCAGGCCACTTCAGCTCTTGTCCCTGAGCCAAGTCTGGCCCCAGATTGGCTGCCCTTGGGTCACGGGCCCATGCTTGTCCAGCTGTGGCTGGAGGGTCATGAGGTGCAAACACGAATTCCTTGAGCAGGGATGAGGCAGGAGAGCTTCCTCTCCAAGGAGGTCGTGGCCACTGCAGCTCATGGACTGCCGTGCCGTGTACACTTCCCCAGCTGGGCCTCAGGGTCCTCACCGCTGGCACCCTCAGTGGCCCCACTCTTCTCCCTTCCCTTCCCTCTCCTCTTCCCCCCCCTCCTCCCTGGTGCCCCCCCACACTCGCAGGCTTCCAATCCATCCAGAGACAGCTCGCGTGCGCCGTGCCTGCCTCCTCCTCCCTCTCCTCTTGCGAACAGACCTGTCCAAGGCAACTTCTTAGGAAGTCTGGGAGGCCTGCCCGAAAACACACAGGATGCTCCGTTAAATTCGAAGTTCAGATACACAATGAATAATTATTTCGTATAAGTATGTACCAAATATTACATGAGACATACTTAGACTGAAAAAAAAAAAAACCAACAACTTATTATTTACCTGAACTTCAAATTTAAGGACATGCCCTGTATTTTTGTTTGCTAAATCTGGCAGCTCTAAAATGAGTCCCTTCGGTGAGGCGGGTGCCGGTGGGACCCACACCCTACAAGGAAAGCAGGTCCCTGCTCCATCTTGGTTGAATTACACCGAATGTGTCTTTACCAAGGAGCCAGTCTATCTGGGGTGATGACAACTGGATGTTTTTCTAAATGAGTCTCGGAATTCCAGCACTGTCCCTCCCACGTGTCCCGTAGGGCCCTGGAGTGGCTTAAGAAAATGGGATTCTCGGGGCACCTGGGTGGCTCAGTCGGTGAAGCGTCCGACTTCGGCTCAGGTCATGATCTCACAGTTCGTGGGTTTGAGCCCCGCATCGGGCTCTGTGCTGACAGCCAGCTCAGAGTCTGGAGCCTGCTTCCGATTCTGTATCTCCCTCTCTCCCTCTGACCCTCCCTGCTCACGCTGTCTCTATCTCTCTCACCGAAATAAATTAAAAAAACATTAAAAATTAAAAAAAAAAAAAAAAAGAAAATGGGATTCTCTGGCTCCTGCAACGGAGTCCAATCCGTGTTACCAAGACCCAGCTCCTCTCTCCCCGGCTCACTGCCTCTCCTCTGTGCTGGCTCCATTCACACGCAAGCTCCCCTCTCGCAGAGAATAACCTTCACCTTGCACCACTGCACACCTTCGCCGCTCTTCAGGTTTAAATGCTCCTTCCCAGCAGCCCCCCTTAAACTCTCACTGCTTCTTATTGGCTCTGAATGGGTTATTTCCCCATCCCTGAACCAATCACTGTGGCCAGGAAAATCCAACGCTCTGATTGGCCAGACCAGAGTCACATGCCACCTTTGGAGCCAACAGGAGGAGCCAGACCCCCAGGGCGCCATCAGGGTGCTATGCTGGAGGGAGGGAAAGTGGATCCTGCGTGGCAGGAAGACACACCCTCTGCTCAGCATACCCCTACAGCTGTGATGTTAACATTTTGACGAGGAGCACCCCTTTTCCATGTGAGTATTTTCCCAGAGTTTACATTGAGTATCGGTTAGATGATAAAATACCTAATAATTGTTTTTAAATGTGATTTCAGGAATTCTTTGAAACTGATCTGTGTTTCATTCACCACTTCAACATCAACATATTTGTATGTATCCAGTATCCAGGCAGTGCCTGATGCCTGACAATGCACTATGACCTTGAGGATCCTTCACAAGTCTTTCCCCCCAAAGGGACCCATCTGTGATGACCAGAACCTGGTTCGAAATCACCCGGTGTGTGTTTGACAAGGCTTCTCGGTGAGTCACAGACCCCTCTGCCACCTTATCACAGCCCCTTCTGCAGGTGTATCCCTGAGGACTCTTTGATTGCAAGCAACAGAAATGAACCTTGCTAGCTTCGGCAAAAGGAAATATATTGGAAGGCTACTGAGAGCTCACAGAATCCATAGGGGGCTGGAGCCCCAGGCTCAGGGACCAAGGATGTTGCAGAGGTTAAACAGCAAAGAGTACAACATTGGATTCATGACCAGAATATTATGGTCGGGATCTGGACTCAGGGATGGAAGGGTCAGGCTCTTTAGTTCAAGATTCCATTCTGGTAAAGGAGCTCCTGTTAGCTTACCTTTAGCTGGGGAAGGTGAGACTCCTGCATTCCTGGAAAGAAACCTGAGTGCTAGCCTACAGGGGAGCTGATGCTGGCTGCCAGAAGCAATGAATATTCCCTGCAAAGATGACACGCCCTTCAAGTGGTTTAGATGGGGATACTCTCTCTTCAATCAGGGATGTAGTGGTCAATTACTTTGCTATTAGAAAGTTGCCACCACTTTTTTTTTTTTTTAACTTTCTGGTTATTCTGGAAGCATTCACTTGGATTTTTCCCTGCTCTGGTTTTCTTTATGTTTCCATAATCTTTAGGCTTCTGGGTGGTCTGGTTTCCGACAGGCAGCAGCGTCAGCTGGTTCTCACAGAGTCCATGTGCTCATGGAGGAAATGTGGCCTGAGCCGATGTCACCCCACCCACAGAAAGGAAGTGACAGCTATGCAAGGTGGAGAAATGTATGGGTTGTATCTGTAAGGATGATTTTGGTTACTAGGAACAGAAAACCCAATTCAAATAGCCATAAATAATAAAGGCAACTTATTGGCTCACTTTTTAAAAAAACGTCCTTCAGGAAAAGCTTGATCCAGCAGCTTTACAGTGCCAGTAAGGACCCAGTTTCTTTCTCTCACTCAACTTGTCTTTTTCAAGACTGGCTTCCCTATCCATAGTCTCAAGACATGTGCCAGCAATTCCCAAGACAACGATCAACTCATCTGTGCTCAGCAGAGTATCAGAGAACCATCCTTGTCCCAGAGTCCCCAGCAAAAGTCCTGAGGTTTACTCTCGTGTGACAGGTATGGGTTACATGCCCAACTGTAAACCGATCGCTGTGCCAGGAGGTTGAAGTGCGCTTACTGACTTAGCCCCAGTTCTGCCTGGTGCCAGAAGCAGCCTCAGTCCTGGAACCACATGGTGCCCTGAATCAATATCAAGGCTATCCAGGAGGGCGAGGGGCAGGGAGGAGAAAGATACTGGGAAAGTCACCCACACAGGCCCACTGCAACAGGCAGCCACACACCTGGGAGTTAATGACTGGTCATCATAATTACAGCTCCCATCATGAACTGCATTAAACACACGCATGAGTTATGTGATTTAATGAATCATCACAGAACCCTGGGAGGTGGCCTTTTAATCCAGTTTTGCAGAGAAGCAAGCAGGTTAAGTGGAGTGACTTAAAGTATCATGGTCATTATGAGGCAGAGGAAGGATATGAACCCCAAATCTATCTGATCGCCAAATCCATCTTCCTAACCTTTACCCCATCCTGAACCTCAATCGTGTGCAAGTTGCCGCTGGGGACACCAAGAAGGGAAGCACATTTCTTTAACAGGCCGTCATTGAGCACCTACTGTGTGTCAGGCATTCTTCCGGGCTCTGAGTACCCGGAGGTCCTGGAGGTATAATCCCTACCGTCTGTGAGGCTCCTGGCCTGGTAAGGGAGACAGACACAAACCTGTGATGATAACCCATCAGGAAGCGCTATTTGTGGCTGTGTCAGGCACTTCACGTGCATTACCTCGATGAACCCTTAAATACACTCTGGGGAAGATGGTCGTATCTCCTCTAGATCCCTGAGTTAACAGAGGGACAGTGAGGTTAAGTTACTCCAGGTCACTCAGCTGGTTGGGCAACTCGACTCAGTCTCACTTTCTGGGGGCTGAGGGGTCGTTCGTGAAGGTCAGATCAGCAAGAAGACAGCCATGTCCACTGAGGTCTGCTGAGAAATCAAGCCTGGAAGAGCACAGGTGCACATGGACTGGGTTATGCTGGGAAGGCTTCCTGGAGAAGAACAGGTTTCCTGAGCCGTGGAGAATAAGGGTACCAGCTCGAGGTGCCCAGGCCAGCACTGGTGACCACCACGTCTTCTGTGTGCTCTGGGCCTTTGTCTGCAGTATCCCACCTCTGGGAATTCCCATCCTAGAATCCCAAACAGGGAAACCTGCTTGACTCTCTCAGTACGACTCAGACCCCAAGGTTAGCATGAGAGAATTTTAACAGCTACAGTTTACAGGCCCCTTCTCATTTCCAAGGCTTCATCTCAGCCCTGCAGCCACCCTACAAGGTAGGAATTGTAGCCATCAGTTTACAAGCAAGGAAACTGAGTGTTTGAGAGAGAGCTCAGAAGTCACGGGGCCAAGATTGAACCTCCGGGCCTGACTCCAGAGTCCTTGCTTGTCCTGAAACACTGAGATTCCCCCGGCTACACACACACACACACACACACACACACACACACACACACACACCCCACACCTTTCTTTATTGGTCAAAGAAGCTAGTGTCCTTCCTGAGTCACCCTCCCCTAGGCTGCTGTCTGACTGGCCCTCTGACTGTGGACTTTCTAGAACCTTCAAGCAACTTCTTGTGGGTGTTCCCTTAGCAGGGGGCCTGGGTTCCCCAAGCTTCTCTAAATCTGCTACTCGTTTCTCAAAGCCTTAATAGAGGAGAGCCTGAATGGCAGAGAAACAACCGTGGAGAAGAAGAACATGGGAGTTGTTAACTTTTTTTAGATTCCATTATAGTTAACACACTGTTATATTAGCTTCAGGTGTGCAATATAGTGATTCAACACCCCCATATATTACTCCGTGCTCATCATGAGAAGGAGGGTACTGTTAATCCCCTTCACCTGTTTCCCCCACCTCCCCGTCCACCTCCCTGCTGGAAACCACCAGTTTGCTCTTCAAAGCTAAGAGTCTGTTTTTCGGTCTCTTTTCTTCCCCTCTTTGTCTGTTAGTTTTGTTTCTTAAATTCTACATATGACTGAGATCATGTGATATTTGTCTTTCTCTGCCTGACTTATTTTGCCTAGCACAGTACTTTCTAGCTCCATCCGCATCGTTGCAAAGAGCAAGATTTCATTCTTTATAATGGCTGAATAATATTCCATTGTGTATATATATGCCTCATCTTGTTTATCCATTCATCTATCAATGAGCTCCTTCCATAATCTGGCTATTATAAATAATGCTGCAATGAACATAGGGGTGCATGTACCCATTTGAATTATTTTTTCATATTCTTTGGGTAAATACCCAGTAATGTGTTTATTGAAACATAGGGTAGGTCTGTTTTTCCATTTTTTAAGGACACTCCATACCATCTTCCAGAGCGGCTGCACCAGTTTGCATTCCCACCCACAGTGCGTGAGTGTTCCTTTTTCTCCACATCCTTGCCAACTCTTGTTATTTCTTGAGTTTTTGATCTTAGCCATTCTGACAGGTGCAAGGCGCTATCTCATTGTGGTTTTGATTTGTTTTTCCCTGATGATGAGTGATGTTGAGCATCTTTTCATGTGTCTGCTGGCCATCTGGATGTCTTCTTTGAGAAGTGTCTGTTCACATCTTCTGCAAGAACATGGGCTTTGATGACAGACAGACCTGACTTGGAATCTGGGCCCGGCCACCCACATGCTGTATGACCTTGGGCAAGTCATCTCCTGTCTCAGGGCCTCAGCTTCCAGAGCTATTAAAGGAGAGCCAGTAATCCCCACTCCATGGGCTGCTGTGTGAGCCCGAAAGCTGGAAACGGTCCTTCAAGTGTTTCTCTCTCCCCACCCTCCCCCATCCACTCAGGTACCCAGTTCTATTCATTTCACCTCCAAAATATATTTCAAACCCACACACTTCTCTCTGTTTCCTATGTCACTTTCCTTACTCAGGCCACCATCAGCTCCTGCCTTGACAAGCAGGGTAGCCAACCAACCAGTCCCTCGGCCCCTTCAACCCGTTCTCCATGCTTCAGCCAGAGCGACTGTTACAGAATCAGACCTTCATTGATATCAGCCCCAGTTACAACTCTCCAGTGGCTTCCTGATGCTCTCAAGGAAACTCCAAAATTCCTACTATCACCTGCACAGAGAGGCCCATGTGGGCAGGGCCCGCCCACTCTACCCACTCGTCTTTTGCCCTTTCCCTGGGGCTGCCCAACCTCACAGCTGTTCCCTCTGCCCAGAACTCTCTTCCCCATCCTAAGCCAGTTAACTCCTGCTTATGCATCCAAACCCTATTCAAAGGTCACTTCCTTGGGGAAGCCTTCCCTGATTTCTCAAAGCAGATCAGACTCCCCCATTTATTGATCTCACCCTGTACTTCTCCTTTGTAGCACCAGTCACAATTGTAATTACATTAGTATTGGCTAAATCGGCCTTTGAATATCTGTCTCTTGAGTCATGGGCACATTGTTTTTGCCTCTTCCTCAGAAGAACAATCCCTCTCCCCCCTTCTAATGATCCCAGAGGTGAGCCCCGATTAACATTGGATATATGGGTGTTGATAGAAGTCAGGGGCAGGGCGGTCTAGGGACACTGGTTGGGACAAGCATCTTCAGCCCCCCATGGAGAACGCCCAGACACATTGAGAAGCCTCAGACAGAGTAGAACCAGGAGACAGAGCAAGTGGCTGATCCCGACAATGTTCTTTTGCCCTGGAGTCTGCAGTGCCTGAAAGTCCTCCCCCCACCCTGCTCCCGTGTTCTGTTGTGTCGTGCTGAAGCTGCACTCGCCTCACAAGCGACAGATGAGAGCAGGCCAGGACAACGTTCCTAGACCGAAGTTCCATGGCGGGGGGACGGGGTGGGGGGGCGCTGTAAGCTTGTCTTGCTCAGCGCTGCACCCCAATGCCTAGCTCAGAGCTTGCTCGCTTACCATTTGCTCAACAGTGAATGACATGGAAGGTGGACAGCGCACAGTAGAAAGGAGGAACGATTCCTGAGAAACGTGGTGCCCTCTTAGTCTCCCGTCTCCCGTCACACAGACATGGCCGGCTGGGCCCAACACGAGCCTCCCCAATGTCCTGACTCCAGGACCCTCCTCCCCAAAGAGGAGACTCGCCCACTGCTGTGATTCCTCTTGGGTCCACCAGCTCACGCCTTCCTCCTCACTCTCAGAACCCAAGGCCTCTGGCTTCTCTCCTTCACTTCCTGGAATATTCCGGGCTGACCCATCACCCCAGGTGCACATCCAAGCAGCCAAAGCGACTGTTTACCCTCTTCCCTTAGAAACCATGTCTGGCTTGTGGCAGCGGGCATCCCACACAGCTGCCCTCTGCCCACAGCCTACCCAGGCAAGCGAAGGTGCTTCCTGAGAAGAGCTGGCATAGCCAGGCTGAGTTTCCTGCCCTCTCTGCTGCCCGCAGCCCCTGCTCCCCGAGCCCCTGCTCCGCAAGCCCCTTCCGGCCACATGCTCACCTCCTGCTCTGTCTGGGCGCCAAGGGGGAGCAAGAGTCAAAACTCACCTCTTCCTGTTCCTCCGGCCACACTGCCCAAGGTTTCAGCCAACACCGGGTGGACGGGTCCACCCGTCCCTCTGGCTCTGGAGTCAGAGAATCATGAGTCCAGCACCCCCCCCGCCCCCACCTCTCGCAGCTCTGTGACCTCAAGCAAAACACATCATCCCTCTGAGCCTCAGTTTCTCCATATGTAGCATGAGGATAATAACCATCACTACCCCTTTGTGCTGTTGTGACGACGATGTCAGCGTGGTGCCTGGCATGTGGTTAAACGCTGACTTGAGGAGCTCAGGCCAGGGG